ATGTGCAATGGCAAATGTATGGCTTAGGCACCGGGCGAGTGGAGTTACAGTTACAACATTGACACTCGGCCCGTTACTAACCCGGCCTGCATTATGGCTGGTAATGAGACTCATCGAGAATTCCAAACAGGATTTCCTCGAATGGAGACATTATTCCAACCTTAAGCAGCTAAAACCTGAGATAAACAGCATATGAAAAGAAATCTTAACTCCTAAAAAGAAGAATCTGGTAGCCACACTCAAAGACAGACCAACGGGCATGGCTAAATATACACAGCTCACTTCTGGCAATCATAAACATCGGTTATATAACAATTTCATGTTAAAGAAAGGTTTGCAAAATTCCATTAGCAAATGTAAGGCCGCTGTTACATCATTTCTATTGGTGAACTTATACTCACTGCTATGAGTGTATGATACGAAAATCGCCATTTATCGTGACTGTCAAATTATTTGGCAATAAGATTCATATCACATCTATTTCGATTTTTACGATAAATACACAAATAACAGCCAGTTCGAACAATCGCCAAACAAATCAATGACTTTGCGGCACTTGTGAGAAATATAAATATATAAACAGAAATTGCGCGGCGCCCACAAATAAATACACTTGAGCACAATTTCTACTTTCACCTGCGGCTGTGTAAGAGAAAAAAAACAAACGTGACTTATTATGCAGCCATACGAAGAAACAATAAAACCACTTGGGAAAAAGAAAACAAAGAAAACAACATACGCGTACATAGATGTCTAGCGCGAGTGATTCACTCGCTTTTTGGCTTTGTATGAAGCCTGCCAACGACCAGCTAACAACATTTATTTAATTTAATTAATAAATAAAAACTTAATCAAGATTAATTAATTTAAATGTAAGTGCTTGTAAATGTGTCTTGAGGCTGCGTGCTGGCAATAAAAATAAATGTTAAGGATGATACAATTAGCACTAACAATGCAACATTAACCAACACCAACACCGACAGCAGCAGCAGCATACCAGCAGTGCAGAAGGGTGAAGCTGAAGAAGAAGAAGTGGTGTGAGGCTGTCACTTGGTAAGCTGAATGGTGTGAGTGCAGCTGCATGTTGCAAGTGCAATCACATTTGAAGTCTCTATTTATGTATGCATTTGTATGTAAATATGTGTTGACGTTAGGTGCTTGTGAAGAGAGCTGCAATTGCAGATGGTGCTGTGTTTTTTTTTTTGTATGTAGGTATTTGCGCTCAGACACGCTGACAAGCCAACCGCTATATGCTGTACAGCTGGGAAACTGATGAGAAAATGTGCATATATGAACACATATGTTTGTTTGCAAAAATTGCTTAGGCTCTTTTATGCCTTTGCGAGTGTCAAAATAATTTAGGTGAAACGAGTAAAAACATCCACAAAATTCCCCGCCTAGCAGGCAATAATGCCGCTTGCGTGGGTTTAATGACACGCTGCCTAAGCTGTTGACTGATTGTCATACAAAGAGGTGTGTTGTCCTCGTTATCGTGCAACATTGTTGCTAAACTCTGTACACATTTAAAAATAATTTTTACGAGTATTTGCATAGAGCAGCTGCTTTTTCGTATGCAAATATTTACACTTGCCATATATGTATGTACGTACATAAAATATTTGTTCGAAACAGTTTTTCATGTAAATCCATTATTTTTACGTGTTTTCTGCAGTTATTACAACCTATTTGCATCTAAATTATGAAAATCTTACACAAATCTTAGGCAGTGATTTATACGCAGCTGAAGGCAGTGGAAAACTAGTCGGATAAAAATAAGAAAAATGAGCAAGCACGCGCAGCTCTGCAGTTGTGTTCACACGCACAATTTTATTTTTTTTTTGTAATGTTCATTGCACCTGCCGCACAGTGTGGAAAAAAAAAATTTTTTCCATTAAAATCTAATATCTCGGCTGATAAAAAATATTATCTTGACTTTTAAAATGACCTCAAAAATGAAGAGGATTTAAATTTTTTTTTTACCTGCAGACAGTATGCAATAAACTTTTTAAATAGTTTTAAACATATACTTTTGCTGTTTTTGCTTAAAGGAATCCTTTTCTGGTCGCAAATGCCGAAAAATGTATTTTAGTTTAAAAAAAAAGACAAAAAATAAGAATTGCTACTTTTGAAGATCATTTAAAGGCATGATTGAATGGAAAATTACCGATCTTCAATAGAAAAATTTCTAATTTTTTGTTTTTTTTTTTCGCCTTAAAACAGCATGACCTTAAAAAAGTGTAAACGCGGATTACGGTTCTCGCGACCATATAAATGCATCTCTTGATGCAAGAACAGCAAAACTATATGTTTCAGAATTTTTTAAAAGTACATTGCCTACAATTTTGATGTCAAAATTGAAAAACCTAAAATACGTATATTTTTGAAGGGCATTTTATAGGTCAGGGTTATTTATTTATATATATATATTTTTTAATCCAACGTGAGTCCTTTCCTAAATTTTACATCTCAAAAGCTATAAAACACCACCACTTCGTTACCTGCTCCCGTTCTCGAGATATTAGATTTTGTCACAAAAAAGTTAATTTTCCACACTGAGTCGGTTATTTGGTCTATAGTTGCATAAAAAATGTGTAGCTAGTTTGATCAATCTATTGTAAATGATCGAAAATGGACTAAAAGCCGCTATATGGAAAGTATTTGCATATCGAATGAACGATTGTTGTATAAAGCAAATTTTTTCAGGTTCGCTGCTTAAGTCTTTTGTTTACGCTCAAAATAGAGAAAAATGTTAAGGCCTAAAATTACAAACACAGATTAAAAATGAAGCACTTTAAATCGCAATATGTGACTACAACACGTTTTTATTACTCATTTACCTAATTTATTAATTGCAACATTTGGCTCAATACATATAAATTCATTGTGCGTCAGTACGTCGCCGATATGCGACCGTTTTCCATACATTTTAGTCCATTTAACAATGACCCATAGCATTCGAACAAGTTAAATGTAGAGGTGTACATACATATATATGTGTATGCATGTTACACAAATATTTACGTTCAACAATTGCATGTACATATGTATGTATGCACATAAATTGGATTAGCTGAAAGGTTTTCGTATACAACAATTGTTTGCATTATTATACAGCAAGGTTGTCAATTCTTTGTTTTGAAGGCAACTTCGTTTATCATTCCTTTTTTCTGCATTATTTTCATGTCAATCAGCTGTTTAAGTCTTTTTGTGTCTGTCTAACAATTGTGCAAATGTGTGGCTTTATAAATTGAGTTGTGACAGATTTTTTTTTGTGACAAAATTTACTTTATTTTTGGTTAGAAAAAAATGAGGTTGTACGTGGGAAAGCAACATGATTCACAGCTGCTGTAATCAGATAACTGTCAAATGAAAAATTGTGAGAAATTGCATTCTACGCAAAATACACGGAGAAGAGGAATTAATTATATGTGGGTGCTTTTAAGTAGACTGGATTGAATAGAGCGATGCAAGACGTGGTGTTTGTTGTAAAACTTCTTTGACAAAATGTAGCTTAGGTTATAGCGCCTGCTAAGTCATTAAGAGGTGTTATCTCACCGTATTCTCTATATACTTATTATCCTAATACGTGTCGGAACGCAGCAAAAAAGCAATCACTGGCACGCTTTGATGGACTCAGCCAAAATCGCTTAGGCGGTTACTGCGCCAATCAAGAAGAAGTTAACTCATGTTCCGCAGTTAAGCGTGGATTTTGAGTATAACAATAAAAAGTTAACTGGCAAAAAGAGTTAACTCTTAAGTAAAATATTATAAACGAAGTATAACAAGATTCATATCTAAAGAGCTCTTAAAGAGTTTGATATTCTTTAACTCGGAGTTTAGTTTCTAAAATTACATTACATGGCAAAGAGTTAGGAATTAACATAGAGTTAAAATTTAAAATGTGTATATAAGCCAGCAGTTTTTGAGTTTAATTTGCTAAAAAGAATGCGAAGTTAAATTTACTTTTTATCACAGTTAAGGTCAGATGTTTTCAACTAAATGCTTTTCTTGAGGGCTTAACCCACCCTGAAAAGAAAATAAAATTAAGAATGTTTAGAAGCCAAAGTAGTAAAACGGCAACGAAAGGCGGTACATTTTATTTCTGGCGCTTTTCTCGAAACGAGTGTTTTCAAAAAATTCTACAGGATATCTTAGGATCTACTCGATCGATTTGGCTGAGATTTTTACAAAAAACTTTTTATAATATTATTTAAAGCGCTGCATATATATATTTTGATTCGATATTCCGTTCTTAAATTATGAATTTAATTAAGTAAAAATTTTCATGAAAATTATGTCGTTTTTGAAATAACCACAACCACGAAGATTTTAAATGTTTAAAAAAATTGTTAAGGGTGGCTAGCTTCGCTTGAAAATATTTAGGTTTTTTTTAAATCGCAAAAATTCGACAGATATTTTGACAAAATTTTGTCGAATTTTTGCGATTTACTTCTGGTACCGATCCATAAAAATTTTTTATTTTGAAATTTTTGTAGATGTTTTTGTTTGCTACGTAGAACAATTTTTTGTATTTATGATATTTTAGGGATGACCGTAATATACAGGCAAATTACCAAAAAACTCACGACTCAAAGGGGCCGTGTCGAAAACAAGGAATGTCAACGGTTTTTTCAACTCAGAGAGACAGACAATTTAGTCTGCATGCGTAGTAGTCAAATTCCAATAGTATTCTTCTTCATCTCATCAAAATGAGTTTTAACAGTGGGTCAAACTTATACCTTTCGAACCAAAAACCGATCCTTCAGAATGCCATTTTATGTGTAAAATAACATCAACTCTTCTAGAACGGATCTTTTGGACCCAGCTCTGGGAAAATGGCAGTGTTCCACAAAAATGTTATGAAAATAGTAAATATTTAAATAAATAGGGTATTCACACGATGTCCTAAACGTCACTATGGCTTTAGGTCGTGCAATTTCGCAACGTAAAATAATGCTTAAATTATATTTTAAGACAAATTAAACATCTTTCCAACTCACCTTTACATTTGATTGCTGTAGTTGCAAGAATGTGGCTATTCCATTGCGCACACGATTCTTGACGCCACGCACCGTTCCCTTCGACGAGCGTATTGTCGATGTGGCCGAACCGCAACGTATATCCTTATAGCCCGCGAAGGCATCGTCGTGCAAGCTCTTCGTTTCGTATTCGGAAAGACTTTCCAAATCATCACCGCCAAGATTGGCTGCAGCACCAATATCGAAACTACGGAAATTTTCATGCTCCTTCACATGGAAATCGTAATATTTATCTGCTTCGTATTTGCGCGGCATCGAGTTCATTTTTGTATCGACGAATGTACCGTTTTCCGCGTTTAGAATGAATGTTTTATTTGGCAACGAAGCGCGTTTATTATGGTGCGTATTGTTAACGCCAATATTGTTGCTATTGCGTTCCTTTAAGAATTTCGCATGTTCAATATTAATATAATTCGGCTCGTTGAGCGCATCTGGCAAAGTAGTTGTATGTGCATCGCGATCACCATCCGCATCGACATCACTGCCACCATCAGCGCTGCCGGCACTACCACCACCACTACCACCACCATCGCCATATTTCGCCTCAAAATCATTTGTAGGAAATTTGCGATCGCGTATATCGCGCAACAAAGAATCTGGCAGAAAGGCGCCCAACATTTTGACACGCGCGGCTGTTGCGGCATTGCCGCAAGCTTTCTGAGTTGTCGGCGAAACGGAAGACTGGCGTATGAATTCAGTGGAGTGAAGCGAATCACAGCTGAGGGAAGACGATTCGCTTTCCTCGCTATCCGTGAAACTGCCAGCGCGTGCATGATCACCATTTGTATGCGACTTGCTGTTGACGGAGTTGGGCGAGTCCAGCGCCGACTTCTTAACGCTGCCATTTAAGCGAATTTTGGTGGCCTTCAGATGTAATTCCATTTTGGGTGCAATGCCATCTAAACCATTCTGTGAAGAGCAGTTAGCCGCTGCGTTTAATTTCTCAAGTGTACTCTGTAGTTTGCTCTGCGGTGACGGTGTGCCAGGTGTTAGATTGCCATTGCTCTCCAGATCACTGCCAGTGCCACTGTCTAAAGTATCGCAAGGCGAAAACTGGCCGCTGGACATAACATAGTACAAGTACGAAGGATGTGACACATTTAGTTCGGTGACGGTTGTATTGCCCGAGGTGATCGCGTTGCTGCTAGCGTGTCCGTTACTGCTGCCATTACCGTTATATTTGCCGTTAGTCATTGCGCCTGCATTCGAATTCAAGTTTGCATTTGCGTTTGCGCTTGCA